CAGCACTTCTAATTACTATATTCTTTCTCTTTTCAAGATCCTCAATACCCAATTTTATATCTGGTGGAATACAGTACGAATTTTTAACATTAACATTAATACTCTTAATCTCATTTTCTACCATATTTTTAAATAGGTATTTAAAAATATGGTAGAAAATGAGATTAAGAGTTATTAATGTTAAAAATTCGTACTGTATTCCACCAGATATAAAATTTGGGTATTGAGGATCTTGAAAAGAGAAAGAATATAGTAATTAGAAGGTGCTGATAAAGGGGGAAGTATTGTTGTTTTAAATAAGAATGACTATGAAAAAGAAATGGAGAGATTATTACAATCTGAAGATACATATAAAATTTTGCAAACAAAATCCCACTAAGAAACTTAAATTACTACTTAAGTGTATTATCAACAAAGGAAAAGAGTTGGGGGTATTAACTGAAAAAGAAGCAAAATATTTATTGATTAACATCCGAAAAATACCTACTATATACTATTTACCAAAATATACAAAAATAAGGAGAACCCACCGGGGGACCCCATTGTGAGTGTGGATAAATTCTTTATTTGCAAGAGTTGGTGAATATGTTGATACTTTTCTGAAAAACATTGTTATGACAAATAGGGCTTTTCTGAGAGATGGTGGACATCTTATTAACATCCTTAAAGAATTACATAATGTTGATAATTGTATGTTGGTTACTATAGATGTAGAATCTTTATATACTAACATCGATCAAAATGATGAAATTAATGCGGTAAAATGGGCCCTTAAACATAAATCACTCCTGAAAAAAGATCGCAGAGGAAATTTGTTGTTGAATTACTTGAATTTGCGATGAATAACAATTTCTTTTGGTACAACAACACTTTTTTCAGCAATGTAAGGGTGTTGCCATGGGAGCTAAGTATGCTCCCAGTGTGGCAAATCTGGTAATGGATAAATGGGAGGAAGAAAGTATTTTTCAATAAATGGCCAGAGATGGCGCTATACAAGAGGTAATTGATGACATTATAATGGTATGGGATGGATCCAGAGAAAAGCTCGATTCCTTTATGGAATATATTAATATGAACCGCTATGGATTGAGATTCACTGTTATGAGTGATTTTGAGCAAATTAATTTTTTGGATCTGGTTTCCTATATAAAAGATAATGGCCAAATTTGTACCAAAAAAACTTACTTCAAGGAAGTGGACAAAACAGCTATATACCTATTTCTAGTGGACATCATCAAATTGGTTATATAGCACTCCAAAAAGTCAGTTTACCAGATTAAAAGAAATTGTAGCGCTAACAAAATTTTTTTCGATCAATCTGAGGTGTTAATTGAAAGATTTATAGAGAAAGGGTATGATAAGACCTTTTTGATTAAGAGAGAAATTCGATTAGTATTAAAGATAGGGAGACAGTTTCTTGGAAATAGAAAGGCTCATTTGGGATTTGAAAATAATGTTACCTTTATTACTAACTATAATATGCAATACAAAAATATTGAAACGAATTTTTAAAAAATATTGGCCCATTTTGTTAAAAGATGATATACTAAATAAATTCTTATCTAAAACTCCTAAATTCATTTATAAGAAAAATAAGTCTCTTAGGATGAAACTGGCTCGCAATGTCATCGAACCCCAAAAAAGTTCGATCTGTTTCCAAATTTAAATGGTTTTTTTTTTTCCTTGTAGGAAGTGTAAAGTTTGTAGGACTGTAAAAGTTGGTAATAATAAAAAAAGAAAGTCATTCTGCTCCTCATTTTCCAAAAAAGAATATGATATTAAATCCCTGATTACATGTTAATTCTACACATGTGATTTATGTTTTAGAATGTCCATGTCATTTGAGATATATTGGGGAGAACTGGGAGATGTTTAAAAACAAGAATAGGCGAACATATAAGAAAAACATAGTAAAAGGATTTTGATAAACATAGTGTATCCAAACATTTCAAATTGGTACATAATTGTGATCCGAGCTTACTTACCTTTTATGGGATCGAGATGGTAAAACCCCATTGGAGGGGCTCGGATTTGGTTAATGAGATTTCCAAAAAAGAGACGTTTTGGATTTATGAACTAAATTCCTTGCAACCATTTAAGGGGTTAAATGTCGATATAGATTTGAATTGTTTTCTCACAAATTTTTAATTTTTATGTTATTTTAAGTATATTTTATATAGGCAACTGTTTAAAGATGATATATGGGAGAGATTGTATGCTTTTTGTACAATTTTTGCATTATTTTTGTATTATTACTAGAGTTCCCCTTTATTTGTGTTTAAAGTGTTACTGGCCCTTTAAGTTCCTTTTTTGAAACACAGTCTTAGAGGGGTGCTGGCCCGTTAATGTATTTATTTATTTAATTTATTTATCATTAGTGTTTTATTTAAATTTCTTTTTATTTTTATTTTTGTTCTCTTGTTTTTAAAGTTTTTTTGCTTGTGATGGCAAATATATTGGATACACATTGTATATCCTTTGTGGACTCCTTTTGTCATCTGTGGGGCGGCTTGCTTTGCTTGATTCCCCATTGATGTCAGCTGTTCGTTTCCTGTGAGTGAATATTTAAGGAGGTTGAGACGTCTCACATCTATCCGCTCCGTGAGGACGTCGATGATGAAACGCGTAGGGCGGAGCTTGATTGATGTGACGTCATTACGTTTTTGGCTGCCAGCTACTGCGCATGTGCTGAGTAGCCAGGCTCGTTTATGTGATTGCTGTTATGCTGTTGATGCTGGTGTCGGCTGGGACACCTCTTGAGTAAGTGCAATGAGTACCTAATAAAGGAATTGGTTTTTATAATATTCACCATAAAGTCTTTCTGTTTCTCTCGAGTGCTTGGCATTTCCCCCATGGATACGTTTGAAGGTGGTCCTTTATCTATTGGAGAAGTGGATTTGCGATTGGGACTACAAAGTTTTTCATCCTGTTATTTCGATCGATGAGGATCGGTGTGTTGCAGAGTTTCCGTTTCTGAAGATATATTTATGGATGATCTGCCATTATATTATCAAGGTTTTTTGGTGAAATTTTTCATATTTAGACACTTTTTTTGCACAAAAGTTTTTTGCACTTAAAAGTTTTTTTATATATTTTTTTTTGTGGTATTGGCATATATATATTTTTTTCTGGACTTATGATTTGATGATTTCTTTATATATATTTATATATTTTTACACATTTACTAGCGCAAATTATTTATTTATTGGTACACTTTATATATGGTGATTTTTTGCAGCTGGTACACTATTAGTAAGTTATATAATTTTGACCATAGGCGCATTATTATTAATTTTTCTTAGAGGTGTATAATATATATCACAAAACTGGCTGAGAAAAATGACAACTAAATTGTCAGGTAAATCCATAAACATATTAATTTAATTTGTGTATTCAGCTGTGTAGCTGTCATTCCAATTAAAATGCATCACACCTCCACTATTTAAAGATTTACATTTTAGGGGCTACACTTGTATGAAAACAAAGTGACCTATTCTGTACAGCAGAATTATACTTCGTGTTTCATCTCAATGAATACTGAAAATAAACTCTCTCTGTGAAGAAATATTGTGGACAACCATTGCTGCCAGTGATAGCAACTTTATTACCATCCCAACAGTTTCTGAATATAGAATTGTGTGAAAGAATTTTATTCTAGAGCCTTATTACACCAGTAAGCCATGTATCCTGGGAAGGACAGCTGGAGAGCCAACAGCAATTCAAAGCCATGCTGTAATAAAATTAGCATGTCTTTTGAAATTCATATATAGAATCAAAGGCGACATGGATGTGCTCTCCAATGCAGAGGAGCCTAGAAAATAACATTTGCTACTGTTAAGAAAGCATTAGTATCTTCAAAAGTCGACAAAAAATGCCAACTCCTGTTTGCCCTACAGAAGATCGTTATTCAGATGATGCACAAAAATAATTAAAGAGTCTAATTGATTTTCAGTCAACAGAGGAGGGAGCAGATGTTCAGTACAGAGCTGAGGTCATTATCCTTTTGTCAAATATCACCATGAAGAATGGTAATTTGCTCATAATTATAATAAAGATAGCAATGAAATTTAATTTAGTGCTCTGGCCATATCAGCATGTGGTTGGGCTCATCCGGTGAGTTTTGCTTGTGCTTAGCAATCCTGATGCCATAACCAATGTGCCAGGTTCAATTAAACAGTGCCATCAGATGCTGTCATTAGGAATATAGGGTTATATTTCCCTCCTTCCTAGAGGGATTTTGGCAGGTTAGTGAAGGAAATTGCTGCACTAAAACACACCTGTTTCAGCTCAATGGAAAAACAAAATGGCAATTTTGCAAATGTGCTTGGCACGTAGATTAGCAACAAGTAACCTTCCATGGTGCAGATGTTTCTTAACTGCATCTTCTATTAGGGTTTAAGAGCCAACAGTCATGGTACGCAGCCAGATGCATTGTGATAGATGTATTTCGATAAATGCTACAGGTTATACTAAACAGTAGAGGTAATTTACACCTGACCACTCCACCATATTTATAATTATTCAAACACTAGACCCTTGTTTTTATACTTACTGGCTTTGAAGCATTAAAAGATCTGTCCACCTACAGTTGATCATATAGATTTTGAACAAGGAGATCTTGATGGAAGACTACCCAACATCTCAATACCTCCAGGCTAAGGTTAGAAGGAGAATTAATGATATCTTTAAGCTGTGCTAAAACATACTTCAATAATAACTTGACATGACACACTACCATCTCCTACATTACAATTTGCTTATACCATTTGAGTCAATTAAGAGGGAGTTTACTAGCATCTAGAATGTATAACTTTGGAATTTTACAGCTTGTTTTTTTCTTATTAAAAACACTTCTCAAATAGTTTGCATTGCTTTAATTTTTCCCCTGGTACATCCACCTTACAATACACCACAGGAATGTAAAAAAAAAAAGGGGGTATAGCCCTCAACAAGCTGATGCCACCCCATATGCCACTTGATGTACTAGATGTGTACCTGTTTAACCTCCCTGGCGGTATTGCCGAGTGTAGCTCGGGGTAAAGTTTCAGTACCAAAAGCGGTAACCCCGAGCTACACTCGGGCTTACCATGTGGCGTTGCTCCGGGATCTGTTCTTCACAGATTCCTCCTGCAGTGTCCTCGGCAATGTCCTCCGGCGGATGCCGGCATCTGTCATCTGGGTTCCATCCCCTGCGAGCGTCGGGACGTACAGGGGACGGAACTGGCGGGAAATTTGAAAATGACAAAAAGTGACATTCACTAAATACACTAAAATCAAATAGTAAAACATTACTGTATCAAACCATTTTACATACATTTTGTCCCTGGTGCTTTGTCCTGTGCCCTGCCTGCATTTTTTACCGTTCTTTCTGCCTGGAAACTGAGAAATGTCCATGGGGACCAAAAAGCGTCCCTTTAGGTCAAAATCGGTTTTAGACCAGCTAGAGAACAGCGATAGTAAATTAGAACTACTTGAAGAATTGAGTGATGATTCGTGGGGAAAGTCATCATCAGACACTGAAAATGATTTTGCGACTTTGCTCAGCGATGTGCGAACTTGGCGCTATATTTCAAATTTCAGTGTTTTTGGTTTGATTGGAATATTGAATTAAAATTATTATATTATTTATTAAATTATAATTTATGATTTCGGGTTTCAAATTGTAACATACCCGGGATGTTTACTAGACTCTTGTTCGGACAGATTTCAGTGAGTTATTCCTAAAAATTACAGGCCTACAATAAAAAAATACATATTTCCATGCAAAAAATGTACCGCTTTGAGCACAGAAATATGGACATAATCAGACCGCTAGGCTAGGGAGGTTAAATACTTGTGAAGTGACACTCTTATAAAAGTGTCCAACCTTATACAGTATTTATTGTAACAATTACACAATGCCACCATCTGTCAGTTCTGTGCAAACTTAAAGTTACATAGAAGGCATTACCCCTTGTTTTCATCTCTTCTAGAATGTAAGCTCATGCCAGCAGGGTTTTCTTTCTTACGGTTTCTTGTTATTGCCATGCTGCACAACTGCTTTTGGTTTCATATTATGCTATTTCATCTGTAGTCTTTTGTGAATACTGTATATATTTTTTTATTGAATAAAGCAGTGGTTTAAGGTAATGCACTATAGGCTCTCTGCTCTTCCTTATATCCCTGGTGGTTTGTTAGAGCAATTATTCATGTGGCTTGGCCACTATCTTAGGGCACTTATCCTCTAAAGCTATTTTGGGTTTGATTGAGGCTGGAGGATACAGAGCCAGAGTTCCATCTTGAAGCTGTTCATGGCTGGAAGGCAGTGTCCTGCACATAAGCGCTGTTGACCTCCAACTCTTGGGATCAAATCCCCTCGCAAACAGATGGAGTGTTGCTGTGGTATCGGAGCACTGGATTTGAGCTTTGATTTCTGGCATATGTGGTTCACAGATTACATGGACAATTTGTTTCATATGTTATCTATTTATAGGATGATTTATGTTGCACTGCGTGTTTACCATTTTTGTCATTGTGCATTTCACTATATTCATAGCTTTTGGAAGATCACAGTTTAAATAGACAGTACATCTAATTTTTTACATCTTAATGGTGTTTGGTATCCTAACACCATTTAATGTTCAGCGTCCCCTTTTACTATTTTTTGTGACCATTTTCACCATTTTAGCACTGTATACACATAATTTGTTTATTTGTATTAATCTACACTAAGTGCAAGTTAGTCTCTCTTTTTATAATTACAATCTGTTAGTTTTTGGCTGGATCACGGAAATGGTCTAATGTTTATGGAGCAGTTTCAGATAATGCTGTACACCTATTGTTCATGGTACAGGTTGGAAAATCAAATCTGATCATAAGCAAAACCTACATTTGCCTTAAACTGTACATGAAGGAAATTTTTTAATTTGTTTTTCATATAAACAAATACAAATAAAAATGTTTGCCAAATGCAATGAAAAGGTTAAAATGCAGCTTAACACAATTAAAGTACCATATGTGTTGATGATTATTTAAAAAAAAGAATTTTTAGCAACTGCAAGTAGCTAAGCAAACAATAACAAATGCTGGTGATCCACTTCAATGAACTAGTTTACCACTTCAGATCCACCAATATGCTTTTTACATGTTTATCTCAGTTCTCAATACAAAAAATAAATAAAATGTATATGTATACATATACACACACATCTCCAACCCCTAATTGATAACATGCATATAGAATTAAAGCAGGCTGCATGCTATGGTTGCATCCCATATGTTATTCAACATAATTTGGCTAATTCAAGAGGGTGGTCCAAGAGCAACCCATCCTCAAAACAATACCTTGGTGATGAAAAGCACCTTAACACCACAGCATTGCCCCAATAGTTGAACTGGCAAATTGGAAGAGGGGGGGGGGGAGTTGGTAACATATATAGTTGCTACCCCATGCACAAATGAATTAGGTAGGAGTCTCCTGGACTCCTTGTCTGCCCTCAACAACTCAAGTCAAAAGTGATATACAACTAATAAAACACCTGGTTATAGCTTCTTGGTTAGTCCATTTGACTAAGAAACAAGCCCGTCTAGTTCACCCAATAGTTTATCCAATAGAAAAAAACAATAGTAGAAAGCCTCCATATGCACAGTTTATCCAGAGGAAGGAAAATAATTCCAATAAAGCATGATCCGTGATCCTCCAGGAAGAAATCATATATTACCTTGATCAACGACCCCTGGTGTTAAGCCAGCCATAGATAGTTTGATTCAAACCATTTATGAGCACGCTGATTGTACCTAAGTTGATTGTTGTATGATTTGGGTACAACCAGCATGTCAGATTTTTACATGTGATTATTATTATTATTATTACTACGAGTTTATATAGCGCCAAAGATTTTTATGTTGGCGCCAAAGGGTTTGCCAGTGGTTATAGGGGCTGTACAATAGGGGGGACATGGCACAGTACAACAACAACAAACAATGTACGAGGGGTAAGAGGGCCCTACTCTTACGAGCTTACAATCTAGGAGGGAGGGGGTAAAAGGTACAGTAGGAAGTGGCTGAGGGGGATGAAGTGGTGGGAGGAATGAGGGAGGATGGCCGTTAGGTGGGGGTGGGGTAGGCTTCCCTGAAGAGATGGGTTTTGAGGGAGCGCCTGAATGTGAATAGGGAAGGCGACAGTCTGATGGATTGGGGCAGTGAGTTCCAGAGGATGGGGGGAGGACCTGGAGAAGTCCTGCAGTCGTGCATGGGAGGAGGAGACCAGGGAGCAGGATAGAAGGAGGTCCTGTGAGGAGCGAAGGGTACGGGTAGGGTGGTACTTGGTGATAAGGTTGGTGAGGTAGTCAGGGGCAGTGTTGTGAACGGCTTTGTAGGTCAGGGTTAGGAGTTTAAATTTGATGCGTTGGGCAATCGGGAGCCAGTGGAGGGAGAGCAGAGGGGGGTGGCAGAGGTGGAGCGGGTGGTGAGGGGGATGAGTCTGGCAGCTGAGTTCAGGAGGTCTGGAGCGGGGAGAGCCTGCACTTGGGTAGGCCAGTGAGGAGGGAGTTGCAGTAGTCAAGGCGTGAGATGATGAGGGATGTACTAGAAGTTTGGTGGTGTCTGGGGTGAGGAAGGAGCGTATCTTGGTTATAGCCACTAGCAATAATCACTGTGTTCTCCAGGCAGAAATGGCTCTCTGAGCCTCCCCACCAGGAGAGCACAATAGCTACATGGGAGGGATGGTTGCAGGAAAGAAAATGCATCATCTATGTCTGACCTTAATACTTTAAACATTAGTATCCAGGTATAGTTTGTGCATTTAGGAACGCATCCAACATTTTAATAACAGAGCTAGCCAGAATTAGTTCTTAAGGCATCTACAGTATTTCACAAGCCTCTCTTTCTCCAGATGTAGGGAGTGCCCCTATGTTATAATACATGGTGATCATATCCCCTCATTAATCGCCTCTTCTCAAGACACAACAAATTCAATTCAACTAATCTTTCCTGATAGCTGAGCACCTTCATGCTTTTTATCAGTTTGGTTGCCCTTCACTGTACTTATCCCAGTTCCCCGATATCCTTTTTGTGAACAGGTCCCCAAAACTGAGCTGTACATTCTAGATAAGGGAAAATCAATGATTCATACAGTGGCAAAATTATGTCTCTCGTTCTCTTGACGCTATACAACTTTCAATACAAGAAAATATTTTGCTAGCTTTAGAAACTGCAGCTTGACATTGCATGCTATTATTGACTTTATAAACTACCAGAACACCCAGATCTATCTTAACCATTGACTTCCCCAGCAGTTCTCCATCTCAAATGTATGATGCATGCTTGTTTTTAGCTCCTAAGTGCATATCTTTACATTTATCAACATTAAACTTCATTTCACAAATAACCGCCCAAATAAATAGTGATTGAGGTCAGCTTGTAAGTTGGAGACATCTTGTAAATAAATTATTCCACTGCATAGCTGGGTGTCACCTGCAAAAACTGAAATGGTACTTTAAAACTCAAACTATCTACATATTATAAACAGGTCAAAAAAGCAAGGGTTCCAACAATGAACATCTGTTTAAGGGGAGGGGGGATATTTTATTCCATGGGTGTATTACGTATAGTAGCATGGAAAAAGACATGTAATAGAAATGTATTGCATCAGTTAGGCAACATAGGCAAATCATAACTAAAGATTTGTTGATTTATGAATTTTATGCTGAAGAGTTAATATCTGACATAGACCGTCAGTCCTACCATACTGACAATTATGATAAAATAAAGATGGCAAGTGAAAGAATCAAACTATATTGGATGTAAAACTACTAATTTTCAAGGGGATCCATTCTAACTTTGATTGCTGCCATAATAAAAATGATGATAAAACGTTACTGTAGCTATACATGTCCAAATATAACAGTTAATAGTTATATTTTTAATGCTTGTCCTATGGTTAATGGGGGTGGCGGGCTAACCTATGACAAAATTTATCATTTAAAGTTCAAAATTAGCTAAAATTTTAGTTTTGAACAGGGTAATGGGTTGGAACCCCAATCTGTTTTTTTATTGCCAATTTCTCCTGTCAGACAAAGGAGGAGGTGTGAGACAATTGTCAAACGGAGCCAATAAAAGCAAATTTTCTAGTAGAGTAAGGAAGGTTTAGAACCTACAGTACATCATCATTTGACTGCTGTCTGTGTCCCTCTGAGGCAGATTCATCCTTACATACTGTCATGGTTATAAGTAGCAGATAGAACTAGAAGGAAATAAAAGTTTCTACTATGGAGGCACAGCATTTAAAAGCTCACAGAAGTTCTAACACTTTCCTATTAAACAAAAGATAAACAGAC